TATATATATATATATACACAGTATATATACACACGCACACACACACTGTTTTTTTCTGCCAGAAAGTAGTTTTCCCCATCTCTGCCTTATTGAAACAAAGCAAATAAAACTGACTTTTCCATTTATTTACACTCTTTCCTCTATATTTAGTGTCCTCTGTCCCCGAAGTGTGCTTGCGAGAAGGGCGAGAGAGGACCTAGCGGCCCGGCGGTAAGTATTTTCACTTCAAACTTCCTCCAACATGGGACGGTGTTTCCACGCGAGCCCACAGGTGCATTTTTCTCCTTTTTTTCTATTCCTAAGAGGTACGGATTCCTTTGTGGAATGTCAACAGTGGGAAGAGACAGGCATGATTCTGACATTTTGGATAACTGCTCTGCTTTGTAAAAGTCAGGATAATTATCGTCTTTGTCAGGACCCCTCAGCACCACCTTGGGCAAAACACAAAATAAGATTCCTCAAAAGAAGTCTCCTTCATGTTCAGACTGTTGAAAGTGAAGAGAATGTAATTGCATGTTTTGGCTGAAAACCTTGACTTTCAAACACCTACGGATCCGAAATTAACGTTTTGCCACACCTGCCTATGACGGGTTAATGGCCTTAGTAATATATATATTTTTGCAGTTATTTAGCATTTTGTCCTTGCATTTTTGAGACACAAAACGCATGCCGTTGTGTCACTTGCCGAATTACATGCAGTCTTTAAAGTTACCCACTTTGAATTGAGTTTGATCACATAGATGCACTGAACAAATTCAGACTGACTTGAGATGAAATTATATGAAACTGATTACTCTTTTAACACGGTTTATAACGCTAACCTGAAGTATGTAGAAGGCCGGATCATGTTAGAGTCAGTTATTTATTGACAGACGCCTAACCATCATTATCCAGGTGCTTTCACCTCTCTGGGATTCCACACATTCTCATGACTATAAATTACAGGCCTCAGTAATTGTTCTCATTAGTTTAACCTCCTCTGGCCAGCACTTTTAGCACTGACCAGGTGCCAAGTGAACTCATAGACTGTCCTTGTTCATTCATAGCGCTGTTTGATTTATTTTAAAGAATTGTTTCATTTGAACTGGTAAAAAAAACAATTAACTTCACAAAATTGTAAATCTTTTTTTTTTAATCGAAATATTTAGCAAAAGAAAAAAAAAAAACGTACATTCCTAATAGGTGGTTTTGTTAGATTTAGGTAACTTCTGGCAAACAATTTGTCCTCAAACAGTAGGTAGTTCAGAACCATAAATCAGTGTTAATGTTAACTAAAACTATATAAATTCAAATGAAAGCTGAAAGTATAAAAATAAAAGATAAATCAAAATATTAATAACAAATATATAAACAAACATAAAATAAAACCTTGAAGTCACTTGCCAAACTGTTGTTATGTGTCCTCTATGAAAATTAAAGGGATAGTTAATCCAAAAATCTTCTTACCCTTATGTCATTCCGAACCCATATGAGTTTCTTTCTTCTGTGGAACACAGTTTGAAGAATGTTGGTAACCGAATAGTTTCGGGTCCCATATTTTTTGTCCATACAATGGAAGTCAATGAGACCTGAAACCGTTTGATTACAAACATTTTTCAAAATACAGTATCTTCTTTTGAAGAAAGAAATGCATACGGGTTTTCATTTTTGGGTGGACTATCCCTTTAAGTGCATGCACTACATTTTGATTGGTTAGTTCTATGGGTCTAATAAACCTATCAGGTCATTCGTTTTTCTATTGAGCAAACATTTTGGGTGGAGTTGACACAGCTTCACACTTTCTCTTATTTCCCCTGCAGGGAAAGAAGGGTCGCCCAGGTGAGGATGGAGGCCCTGGGGCTAAAGGTCAAAAGGTCAGTATTTTGTTTTTATTACTGCTGTCTATCTGTCATTCTCTCTGCCGTCTGCTTGCTTGTGTGGATGCAATTGGAAATATAATGAGGAAGCTGAAGGTTAGTTATATCGTTGTGTTTTTGTCACTTCCTATTTCTACTTTAGATTTCATAAACACTTTCTCATAATGAACAGTACAGGAATCAAGACTAACAAACTGTATTTTATAACCCTTTCTGAAAATCACTTGTTTTGTGCTCTTGTTAGGGTGAATCTGGTTTGAGTGGACTTCCTGGTCGTGAGGGTACAGAGGTGAGGGGCTGAAGCAGGGTCACAAAATCACTGCTTATTCGTCAAATATTGTGCTACATGACTGAACGAATGAAAAAATATTTGGGTAAAATGAAACAAGTATGTACAAAAAAAAAAAGAAAACAGAAAAAAGGTTTAAAAAATGTCAGGTGGTGTCTATTTCAACAAGAAAATAGTAATCAGATATTGTACACAACTTAATCTTAATTTTCAATTTTGAATGTTTAAAAAGGTTAAATTATTGTGAAAAATATTTTTTATTTTTCATATGTTTATTTACATATATATACATATTTAGAGCTTTCAAATGATTAATCGCATCCTAAATATAAGTTTTTGTTTACATTATGTATGTGTACTGTGTTTATTTATTATGTATGTATAAATACAAACACATGCATGTATATATT